AACAGTTTTATATGAGAAACAAAATAGAAATTTGAGAAGGTGGTCGCTTAAGAGAGGTGGTCGCTTACGAAAGACTAAAAACAGTTTTATATGAGGAACAAATTAGAAATTTGAGAAAGTGGTCGCTTGAGGAAGGTGGTCTATTACCAGAATAGTCGATTACGAGAGATTTTTTAAAAACAGTTTTATGTTTTATTTGAGAAATAAAATAGAACATCAAAAGTTCTTGTCACGACCCAACCATGGGTCTAACGCGAATATATTAAAATATTTTTATAACCGGTTGTTCCTGATATTACAGGTTGGGTAGGTTTTCGAATATTTTTAGACAATACATTTTCTTTTTTTAATCTACCAGTCTTTCCTTTGTGCCCCGTTCTTAGCAAGAGCGCGATCTTCAATTCTTAAAGTGTATATCAGGTCTAGAATTTTTTTACGGTTTTGGCATCTCTAGATGATATAAATAAATATTCCAAAAAAAAATTTTCGATTTCGAATTTTTTTCTTGTTATGATATATAATACAAGAATTATTTTCCATCATAATAGACTACTAAGTTCAGTGCTATTCATTACTATTTTGTATTTATCATTAGTGATACGTAGTTTATTTACTTTACATTATTTGTACATGCGAATAATATATAGTACAAGAATAAGTTATTTTCTAAAATAATAGTTCAGTGCTATTCATTGCTATTTTTTTATTTATCATTAGTGATACGTAGTTTATTTTACTTTACATTGTTTGTACATGGGAATGGTATATAGTACAAGAATTATTTTCTATCATAATAGACTACTAAGTTCAGTGCTATTTATTACTAGTGCAATAGTCTTTTAGCTGCTTGTCTGAATTCAGTTAGGAAAACAATGTAAATACAAGGACTGAAGCAAGAGTTGACTAGAAAAAAAAATTCAAGAATAAAGCGTAACGTGTTCCAATCAATAGTGCAACTGGAATATGGCTGTAATACTGAAAACACTTCTGCATTGTGGAAAGCTATAAAAAAGGTATAGAGAAAACTTGGAAGATAACAACAGGTGTAAAGTAGAAGCGAACACAACACCATTTTCACTGCCTTAGCTGTTCGTTTTTCTCTAGTTCTATTCTGTTCTTCAGTAAAATTGCCTTGCGGGAAGGTTCGACGTGATTTGCAAAGTCTGAATGAAGTCATGATATTAAATATCACAACTAAACACATCATAAGAAGAACACAAACTTGTACAAAACAAAACAAAACGTAATATATTATTGAGTCTGTCTTGCTCTGCTGTTCAATTTGGAAATACCAAGCAATGTGGGCAGACAGTCCCATGGGAAGCAGCCAAGAACAAGAGACTAGTGCCAGACGTTTTTTCATCGTGTATGGACGAACTCTGTGTACAGTTACCTTGGTTGATCTGAACCGTTCCACACTTATTATCAGTAGACTAGTCAAAGTCACAAACTTGGAAGCATGGCCGAAGGAGTAGTAAGCCGCCCTACATATGGTGTTGGCAAAAACGTCATTATCCCAAAGATCACAGTGATCGGGAAGACGAAGTAGAGAACGAATGTGGATGTGATACGAATACAAGATAACGAGAATATCTGAAGCGGCCATGTTGATGATCAAATGATGGATGTTCCTTTTCAAGGTGAATCTGGCAGCGAGGAAGATGATCAAAATATTGCCAAACACAGCAAATCCACCCACTAACAAGATGGTCATTATCTTTACGGTTAGTACAAGATGTGAATCGGGTACACTGAAGCACGACAAACTGCTTTGCGTTAGGTTGTCCGAACCGTTCATGGTTTGAGCTGAACTGATAACGAGCCTGTCCCTTCCACCTTCAATCTCCTAATGACAAAATGACTCCTTACTGAACTCGAATATATTTGGCCTTCAAAATAATTAACTCAAAACCAATTTACCCAGGAAAAACTTCCGGCTGCGAATGTTAAAAGCATGTGAAATCTGTTATTATAGTAATCGGACATTCAGTGGTACTTATTGATTTGTCTCACGACTGCAGGGTCATTCTTGAAGCAAATGAAAAAGCATCATTACCATTTCCACGATAGATAATATTTTCCATTCTATAAATAAAGTTCTTTCTGTGGCAATGTTTGCTAGCAGTCGACGATTGCTCTTGATTAAGTTTGTTGTGTTTGCTTTAGAAACTGTAATAACTCACTGTTCATTTCGTCTTTATTTTATTTTCGGGTATCTCACATCTTGAAAAAATCCGCGTATCCACTGCAATATCCACTTTCATATCTATAGGGGGAGGGGTGGTGTTCTTCACCGCGTATCTGCGTATCCACTTCAATATACACCTTCATATCTATCTTTTTTATATATTTTTTTTTTACGTTTTCGAGTTATGTATTTATTTTGTGAGAAGCTCGGTTTCCGCCAATTTGCTTTCGAAAACTTGTCAAGATGGTAATATTCAAATTTCATTATCTTAAAAACAAGCTCGTCACACTGTTTTCTTCCTTTGTTTTGAATCCGCGCAGCGTTACTGCGATTTTCATAGACATGCGAACTCTGTGTCTGCGAGCTGCACGCTGACATATGTTTTTTTGCTGCCGTCAATCAAACCTAATCAGTCGGTACCTTTCATATTTTTGACTGACGGCAGCGAAAAACCATATTTCAGCGTGCAACTGAGAGACACAGAGTTCGCTTGTTTATGAAAACTGCAGTAAATGTATTTTCCGACAATGCTGGTAAACACTTTGATTGCATGGCGTCCACCAAAAGTCTATGATGTCTCGAAAATTGTTTTCACGAGTTTGCTCGTGTGAATGAGAAGCGCTGTAAATAATTTCTAATCATTCTCAGTAACGCTTCATTAAAGTAGTCTGACACCAAAAACATTTGTTATATTATCGAACGCAAGGATATTAAAAGATACTTCGACGACCATCTGTCCTAGATATTACAGGTTGGGTAGGAGGTCTAATCTCTGACTAAACCAAAAATACTAAGCAATTATATAGAGAATTGTCTTGTGATATATCTATTGTTGGGAATGGATGACAGAAGAGCTTGGTTCTGTTTTAGTGTATTACGGGAAAAGTATGTGGCTCACAACGAATCTCTCGCTTTCATGTTTCGAAGATTTCTGGGAAATTTAAGAAGGGATCCAACGCAAGGATATTAAATATTTTCATAACCATCTGTCCTAGATATTACAGGTTGGGTAGGAAGTCTAATTTCTAACTAAACGAAAGAAAGAAAAAAATGCTAGGCAATTTTAGTATTTTTACACAAGTGAATATAACAAATCCGGCGCGCTCATTGGTCACAATTTAGGTTTTATGTTGTTATATTCACCTAGCAGTGAAGGCAGTTTTGTAAAATGGCGACGGGCCGTTTTCGCCGATAAAAACAAACCTTTTCCTCTGTTATTTATTAAATTCACTTTTGTTAAAAGTACTAAAACAATTATTCGCGAAGAAGAAGTGAATATCGGGGAAGTAATAATGTACGAATACATAGTTAACAGAAGGGACTGGTTGTGAAACCCGGCAATATTCAGAGAACAGGTCTATTGTTTCGCGTTTGACGTTGAACCGTACCATCACAGTGCTTTTCTCCTTTTTCTCTTGTTTTCCTGTCCGAAAAAGCCTAGCTCTCTAGCTCTCTGTGAGTTAGCCGTGCACGGACTTAGATCAGCCCAGAGGTTGTTTCAGGGTTCAATCTGTGATTTAGCCATGCCCTGACTTTGATCAGCCCAGAGATTGTTTCAAGGTTCAATCTGTGAGTTAGCCTTGCCCTGACTTTGATCAGCCCAGAGGTTGTTTCAAGGTTCAATCTGTGAGTTAGCCTTGCCCTGNGCCTTGCCCTGACTTTGATCAGCCCAGAGGTTGTTTCAAGGTTCAATCTGTGAGTTAGCCTTGCCCTGACTTTGATCAGCCCAGAGGTTGTTTCAGGGTTCAATCTGTGAGTTAGCCATGCCCTGACATAGATCAGCCCAGAGGTTGTTTCAGGGTTCAATCTGTGAGCTAGCCATGCCCTGACCTAGATCAGCCCAGAGATCAGCACTGAATGTATTTTATCGTTAGTCTCATATTCAAGATGATTTGGAGAGGGTTTTGGCGGGGGAAAATCACTTAATCTGTCAGTGCGGTAATACATTATAATGTCTATTTTTAGCTGAGAATCTACTGGACGTGAATGAGATCGATCCCATAGGAAGACATTTATTCCAGTCCAACAAAAGAAGATACGGTTACTTCAGCGACAGATACTCCTCTTTTACGGCGAGTACAATATGCCAAATCCAAATATGGCGACCAGTTTGAATAACTATTGTTCTGGACTGACTAGCCTCACGTTCACGTGGAAACACAAAAGCGTTTTCACGTGTAAGAGAGGCTAGTCAGTCTAGAACAACAGTTATTCAAATTGGTCGCCTATATAAACTTCATTATAAAACTAACTGTTATAAATATCGCGTTCTGATTGGTTAGGGCGAATGTTTATGAGAGCACACAGCCATTTCTATTTCGTATTCAAAATTAAAACTATTCTATTTTGTATTTCATAAAAAAGATAAGAAACGTGATTGCTGTGTTGTATGCAGTTATAATGCACTTGGGAATAGGCAGAACGCTCGAGAAGTGTTGAGAAGCACTCCTCTACGTGTCTTGCTTTTCCAGTAACACTTCTCTTGCGTGCTTCCCTGCAATTTTCATAAGCATGCGAACTCATGCCTAAGAGCCACACGCTGAAATTTTTGCTGCCGTCAATCAAACCTAATCAATGGGTAACTTTCATGTTGTTGACTGGCGATGGGGAAAACCAAATTCTCGCTTCTATGTGCTTCATCTGCTTTCTTATGCTCCAACATTTATTTCATTTTGGCTGAGGTGCACTGCATATGGAAACTATACTACTAGCTGCAATAGAGGCTTTGCACCATCACGTGATGTGCCTCCTGTCATGGCTGCCATCACCTGATGGTGCAAAGCCTCTATAGCAGATATTATGGATGCATGCAAATGAGATGCTAATGATACGACAAGCATTGTATCAACCCGATAGCCTCACTTGTATGATTCTTTGAACAAAAGAATATCTCATTACCGGCTCAACTGTAATAACAGCTTTGATTTAATCCTTTTGTGGCATGACACTTTTGTTGATTTTGTCCTTGTTGTTGTTGTTGTCTTTGTAATTTTTATGTTTTAACTTTTTCTGTTTTACCTTTTTCTCCACCAGGTCGCAGAAACGGATCTCGTTGTTCAAGTAGCGCTCATCTCAGAGAGTAGAAAGTAAGTATCAATAAGTTTACGTTGATAAGCAACTTCAGAAAATTAATTAATTGCACGGATTAAGAAAAAAATCACGGCCAATCGACCAATCATAAACAAGCATTTTATGTAGATGTCGTATTTATCCGACTATTACACTCTAATTAGTACACTTATTCTATGCATACGATTCTCAATTCTCTGAAGAATACTCTCACTCGGTCGATCAAAAAAAAACACACTCAACCCACTCATCTCGCTATTGATTACTCACTAAACTCCATTCTTTTCTTCACTCTAGTTTGCAGTCTATTCTTGCTACATTTGGCATCGAGACACAAACTCCACAGCAGATAGACCCTATTCAGATCTGGCCTCCGTCTCAGCTCATTCTGGTATTGCATGCAATGCTTTGATGTATTATTATTATTATTTAAGGACCGGAAACTCGGTGCAACTTATTGCGCGCAGCGCCGTGTGCAACCACAAAAATGGAACGGTGTGTTGAGACATCGTATGTCGACCAATAGTCTACTTTTCAGCGCAATAAGGATCATAGTGTGAACATGACCTGAATGACGTTATCTGCCGATGAAATGGATAAGACTTCTTCCTGTAATACTGTCAGGAATTGAGTTACGTTTACATTTATAAGTAGTTTTTTTACAAGAAAAGTTGCTACGTTTGACATCCCTCGCTAGTAATGTAACGAGCAAAGTTTCATCACATGTCGGAGTCTTTATAGCTGTTGTCATTGCACGAGATTTCCCTCGCGATTGATTATGCACATCTTTGTTTTCGAACCCTTCTTCCTGGGTTGACTTCGTTATTTCATTCAGGGATACGAGAGACTGGGTGTTAACCGTAAGCTTGGTTTGCTGGGAAGACCGTCAAGACCGATAGGAGCACTGGGAACCAGTAAAGTATGTCTGTCTGTCTGTTCACGTGTCTGTCTGTCTGTTCACGTGTCTGTCTGTCTGTTCACGTGTCTGTCTGTCTGTCTTTTCACTTGTCTATCTGTCTGTTCACGTGTCTGTCTGTCCGTTCACGTGTCTGTCTGTCTATCTTTAGCCGTGCTACTATCTCTGCACGCTGATAAACAGACAATTTTTCTCTATGTCTTCCGTTATCCTCGAATTCAAATGCTTGAGAATAAACCGTTATGCGGGTTAAACCAAGTGTTTTGTATTCATGAGAATAAGCATGACAAAAACCTAAAATGATAACCCTGTTTAATTCCTTCATTCATTCATTCATATTTTACTAACGTGCACAATGTTTTCATGGTGAAGATTTACCGGATCCTTGGCAAGACAGTAGTAACGTACCCTAAACTACTAGACGAGTTAGATTTCTACATGTCTTGGGACATGTTCCTCGTTATTGACCAGATCAAGGTAAGACTTTACCACTAGCCTTCTTAGTCAAACTAGTTTTCTCTGCGTGGATGATGGCATTTCAAACTAAAATCGGGAAAGTTTCCCTGAAGGGCACATTTAGGAAAGCGCGCAACTGCTAGGCAGTCCCGCTTTTTCTACCAGCCGGTTCTCTTTCCCCTTCCCCCATTTCCACCTTTCTCTTTCCCCCTTTTCGCCCCCCCCCC